ATAATGTTTAATAAGGTTTTTTTTTTTTTAACAGACTCCACATAAAACAACACACACAAAGGTTTAGAAATGGAATGGTGTTTTTTCCTTAGTTTGATTTGCTTTGATATGCAGTACTCAAACATGACAACTATACTCAGATCTGCATCAAATCATTGTTCTGTATCCAATTAAAAAATAAAAGAATTTAATTGAGATGTGGCAGAAAATTGACCCAGTGGACAGTCAATCCAGGAGGCAACATAATTCATAATTACAAATGTGCCATAAACACGGTTAAAAATAGTCCAGTCTGGGTCCTTTTTTTGCAACCCAACAAAGGATCAAATAAAGAACAAACCCAGCACAGGATGGTTTTGACCTAGCTAGGTTGGGTTAAATGTTTAACATAACATGCTGGGCTGTTTTATTGAACTCAACTATTGCTCAATAAATTTACAATAGAGCTGGCTTAAAATGAACCCATAACAATGAACCCACAACAAGTTGCGTCAAAGCTAGGGATGCTCTGATCAGGATTTAATCAGGTGATTTTGAGTATCGATTCCTTGTTATGGTGATTGGCTGATACTGAGTTCCGATTCTAATGCTTCAAGTTTTATAATGCATAGAGCACATTTTCCCTTTAGGTATGAACCATAAGAGAAGATCTTGCCTCATCTAAGAGAATAAATGAAGTATGCTGCATTTAATACCTTAAACACATCCCTTTGGTGTGAAAGTGTCTTGGCCAGAAGCAGCTTTACAGAAAATAATTCATCCAATCATTTAACTCTGGCCTAATGCCTTTATTTATCAGGTGTTGCCACAGTGGAATGAACTGCCACAGAAAATAACACATATATAGAAAACACCAACCTAATATGATGGTAGTGGAAACACTGCACCTGTAAGTTAAAGTAGTATCGACATATGAGAGAATGGGTTAAATAAAAATAAGTCATCATAATTTTAAAGAGTAAAAAATGATTGAGTGAGCACATTAGTTACTGAAAACCAAGCAGTGTGTCTTCATCTTAAATGAATGTGTAGTTGCTGTTCTCGTTTTATTGCAAGAATAGTGTCCAGACGAAACCTTGATTGTCCCCTAGCAGTATTAGAAATAATACACTTAAATTTAATGGTAACACTTTACAATAAGGTTCATTAGTTAATGCATTTACTAACATGAACTAATCATGAACAGCACATGTACAGCATTTATTTATCATAATTGAACATTTACTAATGGATTATTAACATCCAAGTCCATGCTTGTTAACATTAGTTAATGCACCACAAGTTAACATGAACTAACAATGAACTACTGTATTTTCATTAACTAACGTTAACTAACATGAACAAATACAGTAGTAGATGTATTGTTCATTGTTTGTTCATGTTAGTAAATGGATTAATTAACATTAACTAATGAACCTTATTGTAAAGTGTGACTAATTTAATTAATGTAGTTTTTCAATTAGAGCAATTAGAGTTCCAACTTAACAAGGGGTGTCCAAACTTGGTCCTGGAGGGCCGGTGTCCAGCAGAGTTTAACTGGAAGTTCCTACTACATCTAGCAAGAGCTTGATTAGCTGGTTCATGTGTTTAATTGGGGTTGGAACTAAAATAGGCTGGACACCGGCCCTCCAGGACTGAGTTTGGACACCCCTGAACTTAACAATGCTTACTGTTGACTCTGGGACTGATCTCAGAACTATCTGTACCATTCGCAAGCATATTGTAGCTCAATGAGTAAGCAACAAGCACATTACACAACACAACACAGCATTACAAACAAACAAACATTAATAAAACTGCCAACACCCAAAGCAGGAATGAAATACACTCCTGCTATAGGTGGTTACCTCAAACCCCTCAAAATCTTAGTTAAAAATGAATTTTGAAGCTAAGTGAAGATTAAGCTCTAAAAAGTGTTTCTTTAACATCGACGTTACTTTTATTGTCAGGATTTTCTTGTTTTCTAGAACTTGTAATGTACACAATCTATAAAGAAAGCAAGCGACACCCCCCCCCCCCCCCCCTATCACAGAGCTTGCTGAGGCCCCCTTGTGGGCCAGGACCCCACTTTTGGAAGACGCTGATATAAAGTCAGTGTTTTTTTTAACAATGTGTTGATTGCTTATTACACACACAGGGATGTGCAGCATCACATAAACACCTTTTAACATGAAAAATTAAAGGTCTGCTGGTAAGTTTGAACCTTGCACACTAGCAGATCTGTTTCTTCGCTAGTGAAGCAAGAAATTCATGGAAGACACAAAGTATTCCATGTTGCGACAGCAACTTGCTCTTAAGGGAACAGGAGATGAGACTTCAAAACACATCCATAACTCATTAGGAGAGTTTTCCCCATCCTTAAAATAGCAATTGTGAATTCAGGTATGCCCTTAGTGCACCAGCTCTATGCTATTTAGACCGTTTGCTTAAATCGGTAAGATAAAGCCCTAAGAATCTGTATTAGCTGGATTATGGATTTTATAGCTGCTAATGACATGTTTCTGCTTGCAGTATGTAGGCTCGTTTTCTGGTTTAAGGGTTTTTCATTTGCTCCACCACCTGCTAGCACAGGGGAAGAAAGAGTTTTTCTGCCTGACTGGACAGAGCCGGTCTCAAGCCCACTGCTGGCTCAAGGATTTCTTTAATGTTTAATAGACTCCAGCATTGGAACTCTTGACTGTAGCTTTACATAACATCAGGTTGCTGTGAAAATGAAGAATGTAGTGTGGGGAAACCCATGCTGGGTTGAACATGCAGTCGTGTGTGAAAGCAAGGCTTGTACTGGTTCTGGGACACTGAAAATTTCATGAAGAATTGACACAGTTCTTGGTTCTTATTTTGGCTTTTTTCTCGTCTTGCTGAAGCTTGAAAGTTTTAAGCTTAAATATGGATTTTTTTTATTAATATTCTTTTTTTTCTTTAATGGAAAAGTTAATGGAATAATTTTGTGACTTATTATTATCATGGATGAATGCTGAAAGCTCATTTATTTGACGAGAGAGGGGAGAACTACTGCTAATAGTCACATTTAACTTTATTTAACTTTAATATTACTCAATACTTTTTACTCCATGAAGAATGTCTTCATTAAAGCATATAGTTAAATGACTTGTCAAGCTATTGAGGTCAGTTAGACCCCGTCAGAGATTTCTCGAGGGAAAATTAAAGGAATGGAAAACTTCAGTGCTGTGAGTCACGGAGCTTCATTTGAGAAAGTTCTCTCGTTAGTAGCAATGATCCTTTTTTAATTAATTTGATTACAAATGCAGTCAAACAGTAATACAAGTTTTGTCAAATGTGAAACTTTTGTACGTATGTTTTGTATATTTTAACAATTTATCTTGATTATCAGACATAATTGTAATATACGCATTTGAAAAATAATTTATATTTCTTTTTATCTGTTTTCAAAGTTACATTTCTGTGTTTTATTTTCAGTATATCAGTATATTTCAGGAGTAGTAAAATAATTTATTTAAAACAGATGTTTGAAATCAGATTATAAATGCATTTAGTAATAATTTTTCCTGACGAAACTGTTGTTGTACTTTTTGTTGTGCCTTTAGGAAATATTTTAGTGAGTACTATAGGCATTTATTTACATGGTAAAATAAGCATAATCTAGTGGCCTTTGCCTTTCACTTAAGCTTCTTCTGATACCAAATGATCAACTAGAAGTCAAGTTATTATTTGTTGTTCCTAAAACTTGGATAGGCGACAAGACTTTTGTCAGGTAGTGCATACTGTATGTTCACATTCCATTGTAGTATTTCATAAATCTCACACAATGTGCTCTGAGTTTCATAGAGTTTGAAAATTGTAGTTTGGTACATGATCCCTGGAAATATTTAGATTTCTCTGCACAACATATGTGCATTTAAATATAATTTAAATGTAAACATTAATACATAAATAAAAATGACAATCTTTAAAACCATACCAGTACCTAATAACAAATTTGTCAAGGAGAAACAGTGTTGCTGATGCAGTGTTGCTACGCCCAGTCAGTAACTGGATGGGAGACCATATGCCAAAGCTACTGTAGGTTGCTGCCAGAAGTGGTGTTAGTGAGACCAGCAGGGGTAGCTCAACCTGCAGTCTGTGTGGGTCCTAACGCCCCAGAATATTGATGGGGACTCTACACTGCTCAGTGAGCGATGTCTTTCATAAGAGACGTTAACTGAGGTCCTGACTCTCTGTGGTTGTTAAAAATCCCAGGTGAAAAAGAGTAGGAGTTTAACTGGCCTCTGTCTATCATGGCCTCCTTACCATCCCCATATCATAATTGGCTTCATCACTTTGTCTCCTCTTTACCAATCAGCTGGTGTGTGGTGTGCATTCTGGCACAACATGGCTGCCATCGCATCATCCAGGTGGATGCTGCACACTGGTGGTGGATGAGGTGACCCCCCCCCAAAAAATGGAGAAAGCGCTTTGAGTGTCCAGAAAAGTGTTTATACTTTAACAGTATGTTGAGTGATTAGTTTAACCCAAAGCATATAGCTTGTACATAACCAGTGCTGTTGTAAACATTTACTTTTTGCGTTCCGTCCGTGCTGCAAGAATACTTCTGAATTGCTAGTAGGCAGCGGGGTTTTTATGTTTCACTGTCTGAAGTTTTTTTTTTTACCAGTGAAATGCATGTGATTTTACTGTAACAGTAGCTGAAACTCAAAAAAATACAAGTACAAAATCTTTGTAACAAACTGCTAGTACATTTTCTGTTATTTTACAGACTTATTTCTTTATATATTATTTCTTATACACAATATTTTATAGTATTAATCTACAAAAATGTCAATAAAAGTCACTTTGTTAAACTGTAGATTTCAACTTTCAACATCAAAAGTCAACAGAGCCAAGATCAAGGTCCCATGATGCAATTCACAACTGTAAATATACAAAATACAATCACAAAATATGGAAACTCTTAATTAACAGAACTTTTTTACAGTGCACTGTATCCTCAAGCTAATGCTTGACTGTTAATGTGTTTGAAGCGAGCTCTACTGGAACAGAAGCAGAAGAAGAAGCGCCAGGAGCCCCTGATGGTGCAATCTAATCTGGACGGCCGCTCTCGAGTGCGCAGGACCCGGCAGTCAGAGGAACAGGCTCCCCTCGTGGAGAGCTACCTCAGCGGAAACAGCAGCACCATCTACCACGGTACAAACTACAGTTCAAATACAACACACACTATCACAACTCCAGATTCGAGGGTCACATTCACTCTCGAGGGCATGAGACAATATTCCGAGCCGTCATTACACTGACATGCCAGTATCGACTCAAGCTGCTCAAACAGAGAACCCTACAAAGGCCTGTGATTGAAAATGGAAATGCTTGTTTGCTGATTGTTCGGCAAACAATGGTGCCATTCTTCGCTCTGCCAGCGGCACTGGCTTGAGTTACTCTATTGATCTCTGTCCCAGACTGCTCACTGCTAGATAAACCCTTCCTACAGTGACCTCAATCATCTCTATTAAAACATTTGCCAGTGTCAGGGTCTTTCCTCTAAGCTACGAGAAGCCTTTTCTTCATTTTCCTCATGGTCAACTTGTGAGCAAACATTATTCTAAGCTGTTCTTGTCGCATTTCCGTGCCATATTTCTATTTTGGGACTCTATGGCTGAGGCCTACACAATGAAATAGCCTGTTCTAGAGAGGATGGCAGAGTGTCAGAGACAGCAAAACTGTGTTTTTAACAGCATTTTGTGGATCATGTCAGTCTAAAAATCTTATTCGTTCAGTTTAACTTAATTTTTTTATGATTGTTTTCTTTTCTTTTTTACATTTCTATTTATTTCTATTTAGTTTTAATAACTTTAGCGCTTACAATTAAAGTGCTGGGCCAATAGACACTATCAAATGTTGAATTGTGAAAAAAAAAAATGTTGATAACGATGATAAGCTCAGGACGTTTACACTCTGTATTGATCTAAAAGTCAACCACAAAGCAGAAATATGCCACTACAGGGATCTGTAATTGTGCTGATATTAGTGATGCACCAAATTTTCAGCTGCTAGAAATTTTTGGCCGAAAATATGAGCCGAAAATAGGTTATGCTGTACCACCCAGAATTGTTTAGCGCTCCCAGCACTACTCCATATGAAACCTTTTTGAGCTTTCTGTGTTTCACATGCTGTGACTTTTATTCTATTACATTTACATCAAGAAAGCAAATTTTGTAAAGCGTGCACACATTTTTATTTATGTCAAATGAGAATTTAAAGATCCCCTAATATGCATTATAAAAGGTCATATTTTGGTTTTGGGGGTCTCCACCAACAGGCTGATATGAATGCAAGATTAAAATTTCATTGTTTTATAACAGTGGTCTCAAACTCAATTCCTGGAGGGCCACAGCTCGTTTATCTCCAACCACCTCCAACTCATATCTGCTTAATAGTCTCTAGCAAGAGTGTAGATTTGCTGTTGTCATTGGTGGGGGCATGCATCCTTATAGCGCATGCATAGAACAGCACAACTTCTCTAAATGCTTAACAATACAAATAACAATTAATGAAACGCGTCCCATACTGCAAAAGTCAATTTACATGATTATACTGCAATCTGGCTTTGAGAAGTATGGATGTAGAGAAATTTAGAGAGACATGTGACGCAATTAAACCGTTTCATCCCGATTATTATTTTTCACAATCATAAATAGCAAAATTGAAACTGAATTTCGATTAATTGCACAGCCTTGGTTGACAGTATTATGGTGGCTTTCAGGCGAACTTGACTTTAAAAACTTGAACCTTTAAAAACTAGCTACATATTTTCAAATCTTGTACAGGGAAAAAGGAATGGAAAAATTCCTTGTTTTGGCGCCTCTCGCATGCAAACGTAAACACCAATCCAATCATACTGTCCTTGTGTGTTTGTGGGAGGAAGGACCCGAGAATAGAATGTGATTTAACTTAGATTACTAAAGGGTTAATGGAGCATTATTTTATTTTTAAGGTGATTCAATTATTAGTGGGGACATTTTAGTAATTGCTGGATATTAGTGGGGACACATCCTCTCCATCCATGCCAAATCTATGCCACTGGTCTCTACTAGTCTTGAACACCTTGATTATCAGCTGTGTTTGATTAGGGTTGGAGCAAAACTGCAGATCTGCGGCCCTCCAGGAATCAAGTTTGAGACCTATGTCTTATAATATGCATTTATTTTTACCTAGTTATCTCAATGGCTCCCATATTATTTGTTCCTTAGTGTGATGCTAATCTGCAGTGATTGGTCCGATGTCCCAGTCTGTTGTGATTTGTTTGACTGCGTTCAGCACGAGATGGAGAGAAACGCTCACCATGGCTATGAAGTAGCAGAGAGTATATGTGTGAGTCTGATGCGGGAATGCATTATTATCACGTCAGTGTAGGAACAGCTGGTGGTGGCCATAGCAACGACAAACGGCAAGAAATTGCAAATTCAGTAACGTATTTAAATTGGTAAAGGAAGAAGTGCACATTTCAACGTGTTTTTTTAGACACGATATGTAAATAGCCCCATAAAGATTTAACCTGAGAGATACATCACAAGCTGTGCAAACTACAGAAAACAAGGAAATCAACCATTTTAATCACACTTACATGTTGTGATCTGAAAGATGAAGAAACTGGTCCCTGTCAAGGTCTGACAAATTTCCATACATTAATAGTCTTTGCTGATCCTTTCTTTAATAATAAACAGCCGGCAAATTCCACGTTGTAGGCTAGGTTATTATGCTAATCATCAGAAAAAATTACAGGAGCAAACACAGCACATGGTATACTGTGGTATTATTGTGAATATTAACTATTTATTTTTCACAGAGATAGGTTGCAGCTGGAAAGGCATCCGCTGCGTAAAAACGTGCTAGATAAGTTGGTGGTTCATTCCGCTGTAGTGACCCCAGATTAATAAAGAGACTAAGCCGACAAGAAAATTAATGAATGAATGAACCAATTATTCCCCACACCTGTATCTCTGGCCATCTCTCAGTGATCCAAATCTTCGTGTTATGATCAATCCTCTCCTCCGCACTCCTCTAGTGGAGGGGAAGGGCGCGTTCATGCTTAACCAGATCCGTCACTTCATATATGAGCAGGCAAAAGATTCAGATACAAGACGATTTATTTATTCAACTCTGAGTTGACTCTTTCTTTTAAGAATTAATTGTTTTAAACACGGTGCTCTTTCAGATTTAAACCTCAGCTGGATCTTTTCATCCACTTAGAGCTTTGTTACACTGTATGGAAGACCATTTTCAAAACTCCATAATAGGGGATCTTTAAAATGAGAGAATTTAGAGCTTATCTGTTGTGGCTTGATATTTGTAATGAATGTTGTTTATTTATTTATTTCCTTTATGTAGCCGGGAGATCACATTGAGACAGTACGGTCTCTTCTAGTGAGACCTGGTCAAGACGGCAGGCAGCACATAAAGTTTAACACAAAAATCACAGAAAACAATATTACACAATTACAAAAATCACCATTCATAAAAAAGGTCAGATCATAAAAAACAATTACAAGTATCCTTTAAAGATGCTGTACAGAAGATGTTTAAAGGTACTCTGAGTCTGAAGTGTATCAAGATTGAGTTGATTTTGCAGGTCATTCCAAGCTTTAGAAGCATAAAAGGAAAAAGCACATTTGCCAAGTTCAGACAACACCCTTGGCACTGTTAAACAAATACAGGAACCAAACCAAAGTGTGTTGGTTATTTATGTAATATGTTAGCAAGTAACAAAGATAGAATGGTAAACCTGAAAGTAAATAAGTACAAATGTAATTTCCTCCTTGTTATAAAGATAACCAATCTAAAGAATCGTACAAAATACAGTGATGCGTCTGTGAGTCTGCACCTTCAACAAAGCGTATTGCTGCATGATGACCAGAATCTAGTTTTCTAAGTAGAGTAGCAGCTGCATGCTGCATATATAAATGATCACCATAATCAATTGTAGACAAAAATGTACTCTCTGCTATTTTCTTATGAGCTTTATAAGGAAAACATTTTTTGACTGGTATAAGAAACCTAATTTCGGCCTAAGCTTTTTCAATAACTTATCAATGTGTATATCAAAGGCTCATTTCTCATCAATGAAAAAAAAAATAAATAAATAATATATATATATATATATATATATATATATATATATATATATATATATATATATATATATATATATATATATATATATATATATATATATAAGAGCTAACTCATATAAACTATAATATAAAAATCACTGTAATTTCAAATTTGTCGACTTGACAAATTAGTTTGTCATGTACTGGATTTGTGATAATTTTTAATAATGACACTTATAAAACAAATTGTTTGGGGATTTATGGGAACTAATCATTATTTTAGACCACCGACAGCTTATTTGACATTATTTTAAAATTAAATAAGAACATGTGACTCAACAGTGTGACTTAAATTTGCCTTTTTTTTTTCTCTTAGCAATGTACATTGGAACTGCTGTCAGTTGTGACTTATCTCTCAGTTTAGGTTTAAAATGTAGCATTTATAATTCATTTTATTTGGTCTTTGTTTCCCTCAATACATTTGAATGGTTTAGGTTAACAAAAACAATAAGCTGTGCACACTTCAAGCAGCCTTTCAATGCATGTTATGACACGCTAATGCCTATGACAAATATCTGACCTTATCAGAAGTTCTGGGTCACATTCCTGCAGTGTGTCTCTTGATACAGTATCCTTTTAATGAAGAACCAGGGGAGGTTTTTTCAAGCTCAGGGACAATCTCAAACTTATTTCCAGCTGACATGATGCACAGATGTTGTCGACAGAGTTTAACTGGTATTGAATCCACAACAGCCTCTTAAATCATCTTTCAGTTGATGCCGGTCATTTGAAACCTGTGCTGTGGGACTATATTTCTCGCGGGCTTGTGTTGTGTTATGAAAGAAGAATGTCTGTTGGTACTAGCGGTTTACAGCATTATGAATAATTTACATGTTTTCCTCAGTGTTGTGCTGTCTCATCAAAGAGAAAGCACCTTTGGCTCTCATCCAACCTGAGTTTATATTGCTGATAGTTCTGATAGATGTTAGAAGATAGATAGATAGTTCTGATAGATGTTAGAAGATAGATAGATAGATCTGATAGATGCCCTAACCTGCCTTGTTACCCTAATTAACCTAGTTAAGCCTTTAAGTGTCACTTTAAGCTGTATAGACGTGTCTGAAAAATATCTAGTCAAATATTATTTACTGTCTTTATGGCTAAGATAAAATAAATCAGTTATTAGAAATCGGTTATTAAAACTATTATGTTAAGAAATGTGTTAAAAAAATCTGGCCTCTGTTAAAAAAATAAAGGGGGGAATAATAATTCAGGGGGGATAAAGTCAGAATTATTAGCCCCCTTTGAATTTTTTCAGTGCAAACAAATTTTCACAGTATATCTGATAATATTTTTTCTTTAGTACTGTTAAAGTTTAGTACTGTGGTTTGATAAGTGATCTGAAAGATAAGATCTGCCTACATGTACCTGAAATGTACAACAAAACTTTTTTTTTATGTTTCACAAAAATGTAGGCTGATGCACATATTTCCAATGAGCCTGTGCTAAAAAAAACAACCAAATAGATTGCTTGTGCAAGCAGCTAAATACAACATATCTAAGTTAATCGCCCTCATGCTGACATAAAAATAAAATTGTGCACACTGCCCTGAAATTACATCTGACTGGAATAACTAATCAAAATACTGGATCATTTAAACACAGTGTGTGTGAATGTTATAGACTGTTTCTTACCCACATTTTTTTCACCTTCCTATTTCAATATATGCTTTTGAACATGATTTACAGTCTCTTCTAAGCACGCATTTTATCAATGCATGTGATCTATTGCAGTGGTCCCCAATCTTTTTATCACATCAGACCTAGTTTAGGTGGAAGGGGTTGGTTCTACATAGACTTCTAGGCGAGCATCAACTATTTTGTCAGAGGATGACAAGCTGACAAAACATTGCTGTACCTCTGATACAAGTTTTATTTTTGGAAAAAAATTCACTGCAGTGTTTGGGTTCTCTGTGTTTGTCTGAAGTAATGAATCTACTCAAATGGAAAAATGTGTATATTCCATACAGTCAATAAAGGTACGCGAGTTGTCACTAGGGTGCTACCTTTTCAAAACGTACAAATTTGTAACTAAAAGGTCCATATTAATACCTCAAGGGTAGATATTATTATCTAAAAAGTCCAAAAGTGTTCCACTTTTTAATTTTTTTATTTTTAGGTACATATATATTTTTGAGGTACCAATATGTACCCTTTAAGTACAATCATGTACATTTTAAAAAAGCTACCACCCCAGTGACAGCTCGCATACTTTTATTTCTGATTTATTTCTGAGTGTATACACGCATCACTCCCATTATGCATGTGCCTCCATTGGAAATAATGAACTTGCACGCAGAAAAGGCACGATATGTGCTGCCATTTGCGATATCCAGCAGTTGATCTTCTGATTCTAGATTCACCTAATTTGTTGACAAATGGGTTGTGGATCCATTTCTTGGCAGTTCATGAGGCCTTTTCCACTTTTGCAAAGAAACTTTCCAAAGACGTATGCTTTTGCTAGCTTGCAGATTCAATTTTGCCGTTCAAGTGAGTGAGATAACAGAGAGAATACATACATTTTTCAAAAATAAGATTTAAAAAAAAAAGTAATTCAGACTTAAATAATAAATTAAAAGGAAATAATAATGATTTAATTAATACCAATTGTTACCAGTTAATCCACAGTCTGGTACCAGTCTGCGGCCTGGGGATTGGGGACCGCTGTTCTACTGTAAGTGATTAAACCCACGATTGTTGTGCTACTTACTACACAGCGCACTAACAGTCAAGTTACACAATCAATGAATTTTAGCAATAATGAAAGTACACAATGCATTATATCTTACATACAACTGACAAACAACCTATCCAGCTGTTTATGTTAGAGGGCATGTTGATCTCTCTTGTGAGGCTCATGTGGTTTTTCTGTCAACAGAGATATTTTTGTGCCCATTATATCCTTGTATAGAATTTGGATCCAGCACAGACGCACTATATTAGAGCAGCTTACTCACCTGTGAATAGACGCCCTCAGCCCCTCAATGCATGAGTAACACAAAATAACTTCATTTCTCTGAGTCACTCTCACTTTGTACAAAAATAGCAAAAGTCAACGTCTCTGGTGTCTTTTCATAACTAAAGCACTGATCCTCTTTCTCTCACTCTGTCTGACAGGCTTGTCTTTTCATGCCGTTCAGTGTTAGTGATGCCCTATAGCGATTGACAAGCCTCAAAGTAACATTGATATTTTTTTTTGGCGAGTATTGTCAGAATTTATAAGCTGAGACGAGTCCTCCTAGATCGGTGGCAAAAAGAAAGCTCAGCAGCTCACAGCCTTGAAGGACAGTTAAAAGAAAAAGGCTGTGAGAAGGAATGAATTTCCCTCAATCCTTTGATTTCGCAGTTGCTCTGACAGCCGCAGAATCCCCTTCAATTAAAACTGCATCCAGGAGTGCGAGATGTTTGGTTTTTTAGGCTTGCAGCTGTGCTTTGTGTCTTTGCTAACTCTCTTTCCTCTCCTCATTCATTTTAACCCTTGTCTTTATTTTCCTCCTTGTTTTGTATTCTCTCATACTATCTTCTCTACTCCTGCCGTGATCCTCTTTTAGTACAAGAAGCGGAACAGGAAGAAGTTAAAGCCGTAGCAGAGGTTCAGGCTCCTCGCTCGGCTAAAAAATCCAAGCCGCCTACCTCCACTCCTCAGACTGGCAGCGCCAAGAAGGAGAAAAAGGGCAAGCACAAAGGTCAGCTGAGCAGCCTGTTGAGTGTCAGGCCCAGCATGTGCACGAAAATCTGTGTGTGAGTTTGTGTTTGTGTGTGTGTGTACGTGTATGTGTATGTGAAGGACATTTGTGTCATCCAGTGATTCAGTTTGTGTCGTGATCAGCAGTACTGTACGGTGAAAAAAGATAGGACTAGTAAGATTTATTTTTGGTATAATTTCAGTATAAAAAGGTCGTATCAGTTTTATGAACATTTTTACAGCTTATATTAGTCTTTGTTAATTATAGCTAATCTAAATGTTGCTGTTATTTCACGGTGCATTGACTGATATTGCATTTCAAATTTGCATTAGTACAGTGTTTCTCAGCCACATTCCTCGAGGACCACCAGCTCTGCACATTTTTCATATTTCCCTAACCAAATCTGATTCAGATTATCAGCTCATTAGTAGACACTGAAAGATCTCTAATGGGTGTAACAGACAAAGGAGACATCCAAAACATGCACTGCATTAGTAAATGTAAATTCTGTAAATGTATTATTCAACACTAATTCATGTCAACAAATGTTAACTAAGGTGAAGTGTTTCTTGTTCGTTATTATAGATTTTAATTGAAGAAATTACTGCTTTGATTCAGCAAGGATGCATTAAAGGTGCAGTATGTAAGTTTGACACCCAGTGGTTTAACTAGGTATTGCACTCCTGGTGCAATACACACGCAAGAGCAGATTGCCAGATTGACGACACCAATAGAAAGGTGCCTCAGGCCCAATGCCAGTTCTAACCCTACCCCTGGTTTTGTGCGTTCATGTGAAGTTTTAGGGGTGTCCCAATTCTCTTTAGCTTGAAGGTGTGGTGCTAAGGGCAAGGGCTAGATACCCCTTTAGACTGAAATTTTTCAGGACCACACTCGAAACCAAGGGGTAAGGAAATTTCCCAGAATACACCAGCCACAACGACAGGACAGCTGCATCTGAACATAAGAAAATCCACAAATTAGTGTTTTTTTTTGTCATTATTACGAATTTTTACAACAATCAAGCACATATTTTAATACATTCATAACCACGTTCGTGTTTTACCATCATGCTTTTTGAAAAAAATGCTAAAATTTAAATAGCAAAATTTATTGGTTTTTAATCCATAATAACTCCTGTATAGCAGTCCCACAGGATTCTGACACTCGATGACACTCAAATACCCTGTCAGAAAAGTCTAGTGGCTGAGAATAACCTTATAGCAGTCACTGTAAAAAGGTCAGTGTTATTTTCGTGTGTTTACAGAGATAAATATGGCCACAGTGTAAATGCACTATACAGTTACAAGCTTATTTCCACATTATATCGTTATAATAACATAATATATGCCTTCAGTGATTTCCTGAAGATAAATACCAAAAAAATAACACCACTGGAATCACTACAGCAATCGCGATCGTCTGATCTTAATTCATTTTGAGAGCGATCGTGATGACATATGATGACGTTTGCATGTGCTGAAGTGCTGTTCCATTTCTTAGGGGTACATCTTGAAGCCCTTCCCCTTCACACTCTGTTTCAAGGGCCAAGGCGAAGGGGTACTAAAATAGAATTCGCATTGAGCCTTACTGTCGAGCCTAAAGGCTGATTTAAGGCTGATTTCGACTTACTGTGACTCAGTTTAAGCTAATACACATCAGTGATTCAGCATGTACATTTATTAATGTTAAAGGTTTAATGTGTATTAATTAGATTGTAAACCTTACCATTTGTTTTGAGTGCAGTGAGTGCACTATTCTATGCTTCCGAATGGCTGTATTTAATTTTCTGCCGTGTTTCATCTGGTACAAACAATTGCTTATCACTACAGATTTCGTGACGTGGCATGTTGTTTAGGCACAGGGTTATAATGTAACCTGCTCACCTAATGTTTACATTCATAATATTTATATTATTTTCTAATTATGGAATTCACGCTGCGTCGCATATCGAAATCTGCTACTGTACTTTGATACTTTGAGAGCCTTCCTGACCGAATAAATCAAATACACTGTTTTCCACAAAGGCAACCCAGGGTGCTGAAAAATAATTGGCTAAAGTGGCATTGGGCAGCTTAAAGGGACCAAAACAAAGACAGACGTTCGGGAACGTAACAGACGTTTTTAAAGAAGAATATCTGACTTTAGCATTGTTTTTCAGATAAACAAGAATGGTCGCTTAGCATGTTTCTTAAATATCTGCAAACATATTATGCTATTTTTATGCTTTGGAAAAGTCGAAAACTTACATACAGCACCTTTAAATGAATCAAATGTGACTAATAAATACATATAAGGATAAAATACATATTTCTCATATTTCTCTGTTAATCAGAGATTCCTAAAAATGTCAAAGTTATTTTTTTTGATAAATAATCGGAAAAAATAATCGATAATAATCAAATTTTTTGATTTTTATCAACATGGACAAAAATAGTAAAAATACATAATAGAGGGACATTTGAAAGATTTTGTGACATTGAAAACATTATCTTTTTTATTATCACTTTTATTTAATATTTAAAACTGTAATTTTAATCAAACATTACTTGCAATATAACATTCTTACTGACCAAAACATTTTTAACATTTAGACATGTTTTTATTTTACATTAAATTCAGCACTCAAGTTTCAATGCATACATAAATTAAAAGTCAGTGGGGTTAATTGGACCCACTGACTTTTTAAAATACAAAGAAGAATTACAGTCAAATCATTTTGATTTTATACAAATTAAAAGAAAGCAAACTAATAAAAGGCACAGCATTTAAGTCACAAAGCAGCTGGTATGATTTTAATCTCTCGTGTGGTGTGTAATTGCTTAAACTACCACTGTTATATACAATCTTCTAATGTCTTCATCTTCTCCGTACTGCGTTTTTGTATTTCATTCCCCCTCATGTAAATTAGTCTCTCAGTGTTGAGGATTTTTCACCGCTTTCTCTGTCAAAGGCAGCATGGCACAACATGTTAATGAACACATCCCTCTGGAGGGACACCAAACTGCTGCCAGTCTTTTCTCGAAAAAAAAAAAAGCTGCTTATAGGAGCAGCTGCTGTCCGTCAGCCAAAAGCAGTGCTGAGATGACCTACTGCAGCCTTCATCAATAAAAGACACAAACAATCATGAAACAGACAAATGCTTTCTCTTTATAATGCCCTAGATATTACACTCATAGGCTCGGTCTATTAAGCGGTGGTAGTAGTGATGCATTTAGCTCACCGTCAGCACCGTTCTGACTCACACAAGGGAGCATTTGGATTTTCTAGGGGAGAATGCGTTTTATATTTGCTGAAAGTATGACTTTTAGTTGAGCAGCTGACTTTGCTACACTTTTAAAAAGAAAGGCACAAAGGCTGTCTCTGGGCAGCTACCTTTCCAAAATACCAGCACTTGAGCTTAACAAAACCTTACTACTAAAAATACAATAACTGCATTTTAGATTTTACTAATTTTACATGCATTTACAGTAAAAACACATCACTTACGTAAATGTATAGTAATCTTTGTAAACGTAAAAATTCATTCATTCACCTTCATTCGGTTAAGTCCCTTTGTTCATCAGGGGTTGCCACAGCAAAATGAATCGCCAACTTATCCAGCATTTTGGAAAAACCCACACACTCTCACATTTGCACACATACACTACAGTACGGCCAATTTAGTTTAATCAATTCTCCTATAGTGCATGTCTTTGGACTGTGGGGGAAACTCGAGCACCGGGAGGAAACCCATGCCAACATGGGGAGAACATGCAAACTCCACACAGAAAAGCAAGCTGACCGAGCTGGGACTTAAACAGGCGACAGTGCTAACCACGGAGTCACCATGCCATCCCTAAACATAGAAATGCTCTATATATAGAGAAAAGAAAATCTATAAACAATCTACAAAATTAATTATTAACCGTGAAGAACAATCAGATGTAAACGCATGTCATTCTGTAACTGTAATTTAATAGTATTTTACTGTAAAATGATGTATTGTAAGGTTAAGATAGTATTTTATTCATAGTATTTTGTACGTTTTGTGGTGAAAAATCAATTCTGAGAAAAAGCATCACTATTCTCTGTTGAATAGATTCTGATCTTAGTCTTTGACAGCAGATGACTCTCTAAGATCATTTTCTACTGTACATTCAAATCCTCAAGAGGAAGAGCACGTGTGTGTGTGTTTTCTTAAGTCATAAAGACTCAGAGCATGTCATTGCTTCTAAAAATTCTTGATGCAACAATGAGTAATGTTTTTTTTTTTAAAGCACAGCATGAAGCATGAGGGTAGTTCCAGTAGTTGATTGATCCTTCTAATTGGTCTTCTGAGTTGAGTTCTTCTGATTGGTCCACTGCTTTGGAACTGACATAGAAAAAATTGAAGTGCAATTACAGTAAGTAAAAAATGATGCTCTTATAAGCAGGGCGCTTCAAAAGACACAAGATGCAAGCATAGTGGTCATGCACTTATTTCAATTATTTGTTTACACTGAAAAACAATAGAAAAGTAACATTGTGAAAGGGCAATCTGTGTGAATGCCCACTAATTGGCTTTATGTTATGAGATTAATCTAAACAGCTCACTAGGATTGCCAAAAGTACCAGTTGGTACCAATATAAACCAGAACCAATATTCACTTTCTTTTCGGCTTCGTCCCTTTATTAATCTGGGGTCGCCACTGCAGAATGAACCACCAATTTATCCAGCATATGTTTTACGCAGCGGATGCCCTTCTAGCTGCAACGCATCACTGGGAAACATCCATACAGACCCATTCACACACTTACACTATGGACAATTTGGCTCAAACAAGCGACCTTCTTGCTGTGAGGTGACAGCGCTACCCACTGCCCCACCGTGATGTCTCTCAGTACCAATATTTATACTTATATATAAATATATATAATATTTATAAAAACAAAGATAAATGGACGCTGGAGTTTTTCAAAGCCATGTCCATCTGCTGGTCTATCTATGAGCTGACATACAGTACAAGCGATCCACTGATAGA